ACCGGCCCTGCACCTCCCGCGGAGATGCCCCCGGGAAGGCGTCTGCCCCCCCAGGGAAGCCCGTTTCGGGTGGGCCGAGCAGGGTGCTGGACAAGGGTGACTGCCGCCCGCCCCGCTGCCTGCAGCGCCCTTACCGTCACCCATCGCGTCGGCGCGTCGTCCAGCGGGTGCCTTGCTCTGCGAGCGGGCACCCCCGGGAAAGCGCATTAATTGGGAGACAAACCTCATTAAACATTAACGGCCTCGGTGTAATGTTTATCGCAGTCACGAGGGGAGGCGCAGGGCTCCCGCCCACCTTTGGGAAGGAGGCCCGGGAGGGGAGGGCAGGGTGCGCGCCCACCGTGCCAGCCGGCGGGGAGCGCTGGGCACCCCGCGGCCGCGGGTGTCCCTGTCCCAGCTTCCCAAACCTCGGGCCAGCCGGGCTTCACCTCCCGCTGCGGAGGCGAGCCCGAGGCAGGGGGCAGAGGGATGGGCTCCCATACGGGCTGCGACTGCCTTTTGCTAGAGAGAAGCGGGCAGCATGCCCCATCCCTGCAGCCGGGTGTTGCAGGTCCCCGCAACAGCCGGGCCAGTGCCCCCCAGCCCAGCGTCGAGCCGTCCCGGGGGTTCCTGCGGCACCCCAGCACAGCCATCGATGTCCGTGGTGCATCCCTGCCCAGCAGCGGGTACCAGGATGCTGCGCCCCTCAGGGTGTGCCGGCCGCGGGTGGCGAGGCCGGCTGCCAGGCGGGCTGTTCAATCCAGTTTGCTCTGATCTGGCAATCAGCGAGCGGGAGTCACGCGCCCAAGCCGCTCAGCGCTGCGGTGGCCGGGGAGGGGAGGGAGCCGGCCCGCGGGAGCGCTCCCCTCGTCATGCCCAGGGCTCGGCACAGCCTTAGGAGCCCCCAGCCGCTCAGCTCCGGCGCCGCGGGGTGATGCCAAGCCCTGGGAGGGTGCCGTCTGGGGCCCCCCTGCCGTCACGGAGCCCAGGCGGTGCTCAGCATCCCCCTCGATGGGCGCGCCAGCGGCCGCGACACACAAGCTGCCGAAAGGCCGAGGGACAAGGGGGCTCTGTGCCCACGTCCCTCGGGGCTGCGCAGCCGGGCTGGCCGCTGCCGCGCTCCCTTCACACTGTCTCTGCCTATTGTTGAAACTGCTGCTGGCTGCAGAAAAGAGCGCGGCGAGGAGGGGGAACGGGACAGCCCGCCGCTGCTAGCACAAAGCCCGTCTGTGCTGCCCGGGGGACGCGCTGCCGCTGCTCCCCTCCGCCCCAGCCTGGCTGCCGGCGCAGCGGGACAGCGTGGGAAGCTGCCCGCCGGCTCGCCCGGCCGCCTTCCCCCGCAGAGCCGGAGCCCTCGGCCCCATCCCGCTCCCCGCAGCCTTTCCCTTGAGCCCTGGAAACACCACGGCCCTTGAGACGACGCAGCCAGGCACGGATAGAAACGATAGTTTATTCCTTTCCTCCCCCCTCAGGTCACAGCACAGAACACACCAGTCCTTTACCACAGCAGCACACTCGCCTATTTAAAAGGAAACACAATAGCTCAGTTTATTTTACAACAGTCAGGATTTGGCCATTTCTACACACCACAGGGATTTCTTTGTTTCGTGTTAACACCAACAGCACGCTACAGACACCACGGGCACTCCGACGTGGGGCACGCACACGGCTGACACGCAGGGGCTGGGCTGCGCGGCGCCCGCTCTGCCCGAGGCCGCGGAGGCAGGAGGGGAGCAGAGCTCTCTGCGATGGCCAGGAGGAAGGGAAGGGACACAGTGCTGGGGCCACGGTCCCTCTGCCTCGCACAGATGGGACAGAGCGTGCTTCCCAACCCCGCCGAGGGACGCAAAGCACACAGGGACACAGCCGACGCCGCAGGCAGGGCCACCGCAGTGGGGTGGGCACAGCAGAAACCCCTCTCAAAACCATCCTGGAGGACAAGAACCTCCTTCCCGGTGTGTGGACGGCACTCTGGCATGTTTCAATGCAGCCCTGGGGATGCCCCACTGCTGCCCAGGCTGACCCTGCCGTGGCAAGTGCCCACGACTAAGCTGGCAGCCCCCAGCCCCGGCTGAGGCCATGCTTTTGCACGCCCACGCACTCGGGGAAGGGGCCAGACTCACAGGTTTGCCCCCGACCCACGAGCAGACACGAGGTGACGATGGACTCTGGGCTCAGCCCCTCCGGAGCTGGCACGTCGCCGCTGTGCAAGCTCAGGCGCACAAAGGCCTGCGCATCGCTCGCTGCTGCTCCGCGGGGAGAAGGGGCAGCGGGCACCGGGGGACTGACGACACGTAAACGCCACGGGACGACACGCAGCACTGACAGGGGTGGCCGTGTCCCAGACCACGGCACAGGGAGCGACGAGGCATGGGGAAGGGCAGGGAGAACCAGGAGGAAACGCCGCTGCCCCTTCCCTGCCCGAGACGAGCGAGGACAGGATCTTTATTTCAGTTCGTGTTTCTCTTTAGCCCGCGGAGACGGTTTAACCCGCCCCGCTGCGTCTCGCGGGCAGGCAGAGTGTTGGCGAGGAGCTGGTTTGTGCTGGTTAGCAGGGTCACCGCTGCACAGCCGCCCTCTTCCACAGTGTCGCCATGCCGGGGGATTTCACGGGCTTCTCTGCCGCCACAGCATTTCCTCACATTTAGAACAGCATCCCACAGAGACGGCTGGGCTTTAGCCGGGGACACAAAGGAGGAGCAGGCGAGAAAGGGGAGCTGCCTTCCTCCTGAAATCCAGCCCCCAGGTGCCACCACCCAGGGCAGCCAAGCTGCGGGGCGTCCCGCCTGACTCACCCCCCACCGCGGCTGCCTTTGGGCTGGGGGTGCGCAGGAGGATTATTGCTGAAACGGCAACGCGCGGTCCAGAGTCACGCTGGGCGGGCGCCCAGAACGCCAGGGGGACTGGTCCCCGAGCCCTGCCCAGAGCCCGCCGAGGTGAACCACCGGCCTCCGGCCCCGGGGAAGGCTGGGGGGGACGCCGGGCTCCCCCGGGGCTGCAGCGGGTTCCGTGCCCCACAGCCCGCGCCGCCCTGCCCTGCAGCTCCCCTGCCCGGGCTCGGGGGGCAGCCCGGAGGGGCAGCGCCTGCCGGTCGGACAGAGCCCGAATCACACGCACAGCACGAGAACGGTGAAGAGAAAGTCACTATTACAACATCAGCAACGACTAGCCCTAGAGGTAATGGTCATCTCACATCAACATTACACACCACTGGAGGCAGAGAGGACGGTGAGCAGAGTTTAGTCGGGTTAGTAAAGAGAGAACCGGCGCTGAAGTACAGAGGGTAACACAGACACAGCAGCTTCGAGTCTCCTTAGAGGGACCTATCGCTGCGATTTCGGTTTCCTCGCAGGCCACTGGCGTCTGCGGTGCGAGCATCTGTCCTCGGGTCTCTGGGTCTGCGTGGGGAGGAGAGTAGCGAGTCAGGCTGGGCGCAGCGCCGCCGCCTTTCCCTGCGCGGGGCTCGTCCTCCAGCCACACAAGCCGCGCTCCCGCCAGCACGGGCTCCAGGATTCCCCTCTCCGAGCGGGGGCCACAGCCCAGGAGCTCGGGGGAACTCTGGCTGCAGGCGAGGAGCGCGACGCCCCAGGGGACTGGCGCCCAGCTCTCTGGAGGCCCTAAAAATAAAACCACTTTGGGGTGGAGGAGCAGAAGGAAGGGAAACGTAATGCAAAGGAAAATCCGGACAGATGCTTCCTTTTCCTGCTGGGCTGAGCGGGGCTTGCCGAGCATGGGACACGTGGGACCTCGCCAGCGCTGCACGCTTCCCTGCCATGGCCCCTACCAGCGCTCGCTCCTGCGCTGTGCCAGGGATGCAGAGCTGCCCAGTCCCGGCAGACTGGCATGCTCACGCCCCGGCAGTCGCCCCCGCGCACAGCCCCGGCTGTCCCTCCCTCCCTTCCCAGCACAGGGCTGTGACAGCCCTGGTGCCACCACTCACGCTGGCCTGGGCTGGTGTGCGGCAGCCCCGGGACTCACCGCATGGCTCTTCTTCAGTTCTCCGCCTTCTGTGCTCCCGTCGCTGCAAAGGGAAGAGCAGAGCGGTCGCAGCGCCTGCCCGCAGCTGGACGCTCCGCAGGCAGGCGGGCGCAAGGCAGAAGCAGCGGCAGAGCACGCGCGGCGCGGCACAGGCGACCTTACCGTTTGAGGTGATGAGGTTCTCAGCCTGAGCCTCCTCGTCCCCCGGAGCTCTGCAAGAGGAGGTGCACAGTGAGAGCAGGTGGGACCTGCCGCGTCCCAGGGGTGGGATGCCCCCGAGCACGGTGCGCGCTGAGGAAGGTGCCGTGGGGGCGCGCACAGCTGCTCCGCCACCCAGGAGCTCTGCAGCAGAGCGTCCCTCGGCTCTGGGCACCAGGCACCCGAAAAGGATGCTCAGGGAGCGCAGCCACCCTGCCAACTGCGGGAGGGAGCCCGGGAAGAGCTAAGGATGGGCAGAGAGGCTCTCCAAGGGAGGTGCTGCCCTCACTCACCTGGGCTTCTGGTTGAAACTGCACCTGCACCTCCTGCCTGCAAGGGGAGAGAAACGCCGTGAGCGTGGCCACAGTGGGAACAGGCCATGGCCTTTCCCGACGGCCGCCCCCTGCAAGAACAGCCCCCACGCCCAGCGCCCGCCTGGTCCCCAACTTACTGAGTATAAGGAGAATGCCGACGGTGAACAGCACCACAGCAAACACCAGTCCCCCGATCCTCAGGCTCTGGTAGTCTGGGGGGAGGAGACACAGGGGCTGGGCTCAGGGAAGGGGGCAGCCTCTTTCGCTCCCCATCACACACGCACACGCGTCCCTGCCAGCACACCCATCCCCGTGCGCGGCGGTGCTCACCATAGTTAAAGGGGTCCTCCTCCTTCTCCTGGGTGGCCACTGGAAAGAAGCAGACAAGGGGTGTGAGGTGAGCGTGGCTCCCGGCTCA